GTGATCATGTCATCTTCGGCATTTCTCCCACTTGTGGCTTGGTTACCTGTATTTCATTTTGGCCTCCCACCTAAATGTTCATTGTCTTGTACTGCAAAAAGATAACTCAATGTTCTGCTGACTCCCTAATGTTTCCTTCTCTCTTTTGTCGTCATGTTATTTATTTGATGGTCCAAAAATTGTTTTCGGCACATAACTTATTGTATCTATATTTGGCACATCTATGCAGCTTGAACTAGAGTATGCTGCTGAAACAAATGCCCTTCAGCCTCCACATAAATATGTGCCATGGGTGGTGGTGGATGGACAGCCACTTTATGAGGTTTGTTCTTTTAACTACAACCATGAGAAATTTGTGTTGTTTGTCGACTACAAAATTTGTTCACCAAAACTTTCTGCATCCCGGTTGCAATTTTGCTATTTGTGATAATTGTTCTTCACTCATGAACCATTGATGATTGATCATAGGTTATTGATTTCTCTGTACTTTTTATTTTTTTCAGTTTTAGAAGATTACTTGATACTTGATGGAATTTAGAAATTACTCTGCTGTGATTTTTTTAGGACTACGAGGACTTCATAACTTACATCTGCAAGGCCTACAAAGGCACTGCCACACCCAAAGCTTGCAGCAAACAATCTCGCCATTCCATCCCAAGGGCGAAAGCAAAATCAATCTCTCCAGTTTGCTACAGGGATACGATTGTATCAACATTATTGGAATCAATAAGATCAGCAACATCATTGTGGATGCAGTAGATGAATATCAGGGCCGCTTCAGCGTAGATGCATCTCAATTTTATTTACTTATTCCCTTGTTGGCATTGTAGTTATGATGTCAAATTAGCAGTACTCAGCTAAGCGCATGTCTAAAGCTGCCCCCCCTCGACTGAGCATGATCTATCTATAGTCATCTACTACTTGATAACATTGTGCTGTGATTGTGGGATTGGGATATGGTTAGATGATAAGCTGCCGGTATATATTATCAATTGAGCTACAGGTATGTGTCTGGACGAATAATTGTAACGTGTATTAGATGCTGCTTGAAAACAGACGGTCCGGTGGTTGGTTGCATGGATCTAATATGAACCTATATAGAGATGAAGGCGCACTTGAGCGGAGCAATGGATAGTCGATGCTAAGAATTGGAGTTCTGATAGCCCAGTTGAGCCTATGTTCACAAGATCATGTGTACGGCTTACACATGAGGTGGAGGCGTGCCCATCGGAGCGGACGAATCCAGTAGTTCAGATTTTGTCATCACGATTCTATTCTTCACTACCAAGACTTTAATGTAGTAGCTGTTACACGCCTTTGAAATGGTCTTATTATATCCCGTAGCGCTTTCTGTCTCACCTACGTCGGGAATTTTTTGTTTGAACTTGATTTTGGTTAAAGCAACCATCCACTGAACCCTCTCATCTCTCCCAGATTATTTACACAGATTCATGGGAGTCGTGTTTAAATGTCGGCGAGGTTGATAATTCTTAAAGTTTAAATAAAATCTTTAGCAGACCTCTCTCCCCCGTCGATATGTCCTAGTGGATAAGGAGACAGGCTCGATGTCTGTTGGCCTTTTCCTGAGCAGGTTCAAATCCTTCTGTCGGCGGCTTTAGCTTTCGTATTCGTGGAATGCTCTGTTTCTTTGATGGGTTGATTGGTTCAAGCAATTGCCCTCCATTTCCAGCCCAAATTACCAGATCCAGTTTTGGACTTAAATAAGCTGAGCCTACTACCATGACCGTCCTGGCCTCTTTCTTTCTTAAAAAAATTCAATTTTCCTCTTATGCTCCTTGTATGTCCATCCTCTTCCTCTGTTCAGGTGGATATGTTCTCTTTCGAGAAAAACAATTCAAGGACTTAACTGATTGCTATATTCTTTCTTATCTATATTTTTTTTAATGATAAAAAATTTAAAATCAGTTTTCATATACCAAGATGAGTTAAATTCACAACTGATTTCAACCTCAATAAATTAAACTGTATAAGTGACGGAAGAATGTCAAGATATCTGGTTCTGTAGAAAAACATAAACTATTATATGAGCAGATTTAACGAATAATTATACTTGGATTACAAGACAACATTCAAATGTGTATATTTTGGATTAGATTTCGAATCATGTTTAACAATGCACATATTATATTTTATTATTCATCTAATAAAGTAAATGTACAGAAAACATCTATCTCGAAGAGAAGTATCTGTCATGTTTCATCTTTACGTGCTGAGGACGCCCGCAAACTATTGTTCATCGAAACCATGAATATGTGCTATCGATTACGCGATATCATGATGATCTTGTGATCACAAACAATATAATTAAATGACTCAGGCACATCAATTTTCTCATGATTTTTGAAAATGGCGAATGACCAAATAATAATAACGGTGGAACCACTTTAACAAACGTTCAGGGGTCTCTTTCCAGTAAATTTGTCCGTTAGCACGCAAAAGTCAGACATCCCAAGCCAATATTAATACTAGGATTCTCATGTCCTCCCCTCCCATGCATCTTCGCATCTGTATCCCACTCTCTCTGGTCTCGAAAAGGGTTACAGCAAGGCAAAACAAAAGGCAATTTCAAAGGAAGGAGAATGATAGATGGGTGTGGGTTCATGTTCTTTAGGATCAAGGGTTGCAGTGCAAAAGGGAGAGGAGAAGAAGGGCCATCACGCACCGTTTGTCAGTAAATTTTACGATCCAGATATCATGTCGGCGACCAAAACTACAGTTTGTCCAACTATGCAGGACCCACCATGCTGTGACGTTTCAAAAAAAAAAAACACCATACAGTGACACTCCTCTTCTCCTCTGGCCCTTTTTTTTGGTTTTACCAAAATCCCATTGCCCCTCCACTTCCGGGTTCCACCGACTGTTTCTTTCTCTCTAGCTAGCGGAAAACCCTAGTTGATTTCCGGATGTAAAGAGTTCAAAGTAAAAAAATCAAAAGGGTTAAATTGCTCGGAGCTTGTGCAAATGCTGGTCTTTCATTGGAGATTTTTACTGGATAGAACTAGAACTACCCCGCGGACAACTCGCCAGTCCTAATGAGTCCTTTCCTTTTCTTTTTTTTTTTATCGTACAAAAATCACATGTGATCTACTAATGTAATAGCTTGTTTATCGAGATTCTCAGCAAGAATTTAACATTTTTATTTTCAAGAAATATATATATATATATATATATTAACTGATATCTTTTAATTCGGTCGAGGGGTATTGCTTAATTATGCCAGACATATATATATATATATATATATATATATATATTAACTGATATCTTTTAATTCGGTCGAGGGGTATTGCTTAATTATGCCAGACATGCAACCCAGAAATACGTAATCCTGTTCATATTGGATAAATTTTGAACCCAAAAGCATGTAACTCTGCTTACCCAGCAGACACGAAAATATTTATTTATAGCTAAAGGTTAAGAAATCAACAAGCTTGTATCCTACATCTAAATTAATCACATATATAAACACACAAGCCCATACTTTAATTACATAATTGCGCTTCGATGCTAGTATATATTTTCTTTCTTTCTCAGAAGTCATGTTGTCCTCTCTTATCTGCTAAATTTAAGAACATTAATTGGATCACTCAAATACATTCATTTATAAACCATCTAATAATTAAGTTTATATTCTATATCATGGCTCAATGTTTAGTCGTCATGGGATAGTTTTAACATGTTTTTTTAATCATTAAGTCAATTTTTGATGTCATTTTCTAGCACTAACGCTTAATATATACACTCGCACAAACCCTCATTAAGTAATAAAAAATACATGCTTGTAGGTTATAATTCCAGCAAGTAAATGGGCATCGAGCAATCAAGCGACAACCCCCACTAAGAAAATGGAATGGGAGGGCAACAAGGCCAACGAAAGCAAAGCGTGAGGCAAATTCTCTGTGGATGGATACGATGCGAGATCACGTTATCTTTCTTAACGCCGTGTATCTTACAACTTTATCTTGACAGCCGTCATCCTTCAACACGCACCAATTATATATTTCTTCTTCATTAATTTATTTATTTATTTAATACGGAAAACAAGCAGAAGAAATTAAACGACACTGTCTTTGTTTTTGTTCTCAAAAGTAAACAACGTTCTTGTCTGTTTGATTATCTTGTTGCTTGCTACACGTATTATATTGGTGGTCTGTGATCTGTGGTTTTTCATTTTCTACGCTTAGATTAGACGTCCATTTTTTTAGTTAATTAACGAATTAAATAGAAGTAGTTGCACTGTGCATAAGTTCAGAGATTAAATATATTAAATGAAATATGAGGTAATAAATTAAAGGAGTGAGAGTGTACGTAATACCATATGTTTAATTTATCTTCTAGAACGAGACGTCACCACTTATTGTGATAATAGCTAATCTTATTTTATTCTAGAGCTGTTGTTTTAGCGGTGCGGTGTGCTAACAACTGTCACGACCCAAATCCCGGATTCATGACCGGCAACGCAGGAGGAGTGTCGAAAGGACATCCCACCTACGCTAAGCCTCAAAACATACATATCAAAGTAATAGATATTCAAAAATACGCAGCATTTCATAATCTTGAGAAATATTATATTACTCAAAGCTGATGAAGTCAAAGGATAGTCAAAACTCTTCATCAGTAATTAAAACAAAATAATAATTCATAATACTCATTACATTGTCAAAATCCAAACTTAATTAAAACAGAGTAATAGTGGAGCGTCTAAGACTTCGAATCAAAACAACCTTGAACAATAAGCAAGGCATACCGACCCAAAACTGAAGAAGTAGGAACACTCAACAAAGTCCAACTGCTATTAGAAACTAAGAACCTGAAATAATATTAAGAATGAGGGGTGAGTTCAACCAACTCAGTGAGGGAATAATATTTAATATACATTTTAGATATTTTCATATTAATAATTTGTCAGATGATTTATCTTGATATACATATACATATACATACTAAATATATTATCATAACGTAGTAGAATGATATACATATACATACTGAACATATTATCATAACGTAGTGGAATACATGTCAGAGATCAGATGACACCCGAAGGTGACCAGATGACACCCGAGGGTGACCAGATGACACTCAAAAGTGACCAGATGACACCCGAAGGTGACCACTATGGGATGATCAGTCGCCGCAGGCTGATGCTTCTCTCATCAGCTAGGTATACAGAATACTATGTGCACATAGGCTAACTACTCTCCGTTAGCATGGAGTTACTGACAAGTCCTATATCAAGGCATAATAGATATTTACAGAATCATCAAGGAAACGTATATCATATCAAATAGAATTTAGCTCGATAAAATGCGAGTGCAAATTTCAAGAATAGATGAGTACTCGAAAAACAAAGCAAAATATATAAATATAAATATTCAAGAGATTAACTAATCGTACTCATCATATAATCAACATACATATTTACTTATATTATATGCATATTAAAGATTATCCCACTCACCCGGAAAATATAGAACTAAAGGAACGTCAGACGAAAGACCCGAAAATCCTATTGAGGATCGTTAGGAGAACCTACAACAATATATGAAATATACTCAAAAACAACTCAAACAAAATATCTCAATGCATAAAATAAAACTAGGTTTACTCTCCTAGGTTTAGGGACTAAAATGATAATTATCCAAATAGGGACCAAAATGTAATTTTACCAAAATTGGACCAAACTGTAAATATATAACCATACTGAAATTTCACCCATAAACCATCCTTCATTCTGTCCAGAACGAACTAGGGACCTAAAGGTAATTTTTATAAAGTTTAGGGACTAAAATGTAAATTCCTAAAATTTAGGGACCAAACTAAAAATATTCCAAATCAATTATCAAACTGAGATTTATCATCCTTAACCTCATAAAAACACCGTCCAAAATCTCAAAATACCATTAGGGGTCAGATTATAATTTTCCCAAAGTTTAGGGACTAAAATGTAAATTCTTAAATTTAGGGACCAAACTGGAAATATTCCAAATCAATTATCAAACTGAGATTCATCATCCTTAACCTCATAATAACACTGTCCAGAATCTCAAAATACCATTAGGGGTCAAATTATAATTTTTCCAAAGTTTAGGGACTAAACTGTAATTTCCACAAATTTAGGGACCAAATTGAATTTTCGTCATCTTCAACCTCAAACCCAGAATTGTTCACAGATTACCTACTGTTCTTTCCAGAATTCCAACTCAAAATTCACAATTTACACAAATCATAACTCAACATCATCATCTTTACCAACAATCTCTCAAAATCAACTAATTAATCAATTACCCACAACAATCAACCCTATAACATTCAAATTAATTCATCAATTAACCCAAAACACAAATTTTCAAAACCCTAATATTTATCAAAACATAAATTTAAATTTCAAACAACACATTTATACATTTAACAACCTAAATCTTACCTTTAAAGTTATTTCTTCTCAATCTCTTCCCTTTCCCTTCTTTTCCCCTCTTTTCTCTTCTTCTTCTTCCTTCTCCCTCTCTTACGTTTGCTCTCAAAAAAACACAGCTCCCTCTTTTGTTCTTTTGTTTTATTTTCTTTCTATTTATATTTATCAACTATTATTCAATTACCACAATACCCCTCATTTAATTATACTTACTCTTTAAGTCACCAAGGGCTTGGTTGCCCTTTCCTACTAATTTTCAAAACATCACAACAACACCCGCGAGAATTTCCGAACTATTATATATATATATATATTATTTGTTTTTAGAATTGTATTTTTCATTGTATTGATTGAATAGGAATGATACAATTTACGGAATACAAACTTATATCAAAATAGGAAACTAAATATATAAGAAAATCTAGAAATTAATTACAGAAATTAATTTTTCTAATTCGAGGAACAAATATAAAATTTTATACCTATACAATCCCTGATTAGACGAGATAAAATTTCAACATTTTTCCTCAAGTTGGTACATAGGTGTTAAACATGCTCAACTTATCTAAAAGCTTTAAGAACACTAGATTTGAGACTGTTTTGGTAAGAATGATAAAGCTTTAAGAACACTAGATTTGAGACTGTTTTGGTAAGAATGTCACCTAATTGATCCTCAGATTGAATTTTAGGCAGCTCCATAATTTTTCCATCTAATTTCTTCTTAATAAAAATATGTCTATCTCGACATGCTTTGTATGATCATATTGAGATGGGTTATAGGCAATAACACATGCTGCTTTATTATCACAGTATAGTTGAATTAGTTGCCTAGATTGGCAACCAAAGTCCTCTAAAAGAAGTCTTAGCCATAATACTTTACAAAGTCCAAAGGTCATACCTTTGAATTTAGCTTCTGCGCTAGAACGAGCAACAATGTTTTATTTCTTGCTTCTCCATGTAATGAGATTACCTCTTACAAAGATAAAGTAACCAGGAGTAAATCGCCTATCATCTATAGCTCCAGCCCAATCAGCATTAGTATATGTATCTATGCTTTGGTAATCTGAATTCTTAGCGAACAAAATCCCCTTTCATGGAGTAGTCTTCAGAAACCTTAAAATTCGCATAACTACATTCATATGTTGTTCTTCAGGATTATGTATAAACTGGCTAACAATAATCAATGCATATGCCAAATCCAGTCGTGTGCGCTCTAAGTACATCAATTTGCTTACAAGTCTTTGATATCTTCCCTTATCAGTAGGTACCTGGTTGGACTTAACACATAACTTTAGACCTTCTTCCACTAATGTTTTAGCTGGCTGGCATGTTAACATACCAGTCTCTTGTAATAAATCTAAGGCATATTTTTTTGAGATAGAAAGATTCCTTTATTAGATCGAGACACGTCTATCTCAAGAAAATATTTCAAATCACTTAAATCTTTCATTTCAAATTATTTGGACAAGTAATTTTATAGAGCCTTCCTTTCTTTAGGATCATTTACTGTAACGATCATATCATCCATATATATATAATGAGTGCAGTGATCTTATCCTATTGTTTCTTCAAGAATAATGTGTGATCTGAATTGCTCTAATAATAGCCAAAAGCTATCATAGACTTTGTGAACCTTCCAAAGCATGCTCTATACAATGCTTTCTTTAATCTGCACACCTTCTGACTCTCCCTTGTTGATATCATGCACCTCGATGGGAGATCCATATAAACTTTTTCGGATAATTCTCTATGTAAAAAGGCATTCTTTACATCAAATTGTTGTAATGGTCAATCCAAATTCGTAGCTAAAGATTACAAGACTTAAATTGTGTTGATTTTAACTATAAGTACAAATGTCTCCGTGTAATCAATCCTATAAGTTTGGGTGTAAACTTTTACCACCAGTCTTACTTTGAAGCGTTCAATTATGCCATCAGCTTTGTACTTCACAATGTAAATCCATCAACATCCAACTAGATTTTTTCTTGGTGGAGGATCAATGAGTTCCCAGGTTTCATTTTTTTGCTAGGATTTCATCTCCTCGTTTATAGCTGCTTTCCACTTGGGATCAATTAAGGTTTCCTGCATACTGTTAGGAATATGTAAGGTAAATGGCTTTGAGGGACAGAAAAAAAATGAAATCTGGCTATGGCATCGGAGTCTAGGGCATGCTTCCTTTGGGTATCTAAAGAAATTATTTCATAGTTTATTTGCAAAATTTGATATTTCTAGTTTCCATTGTGATTTTTACGAATTGGCAAAAAGTTATCATGCTTCCTTTAAGTTATGTTTGAATAAAAATCTACTCTCTTTTATTGTTATATATTCTGATGTCTGGGGTCCATCCGAAGTTACTACTTTTAGTGGATCACGTTGGTTTATTACTTTTATTGATGAATGTATCAGAATGACCTGGTTATACTTAATGACATCCAAAGGTGAAGTGAATTTGTTATTTCAGAAGTTTCATAAAATGATTGAAACTTAATGTAATGCATAGATTCAGGTTCTCCGCATTAATAATGAAGGAGAATATTAGAGTTCTGAACTTTAGAAATATATGGAATTATTAATCAAACTACTTGTTCCAATACACACCAGCAAAGCGAGGTTGTAGAGCGAAAAAATCTCAACATATAGCATTTTTAGAGTTGTTTTAGAGTGTGCTTGGTAATGTAATAACTGTTATGGTTGTGGTTTTAAAAAAAATTATTTTATAAAAAGTTTTTTTAGTTGAAGTTGGTTTGGAAAAATATATATTTGGTTAAAATTATGGTTGAAATTGAGATTGAACATAAAATAGTTTAATGTGTTTAGTTAAAGAATAATTTTTAAATTTAGGTTATAAAATAATTAAAAAAGACATATTAATATTGATGGTTTTTAATTGAAATATTTTTGATTTAACTAATGTTATTGCATCATGAAACAAATAATATTTTATATAAAATATTTTTTATTGTTGTATTAAACTATGCGCAAATTCATCACGTATGAAATCTATCAAAAAATAACTACAGTTTTCATGGTTTTCTAAGCATGCAATAATATTAGGTAAAATGTCATCAGCACCAAAATTGAGATTGCAATCAAATTCTGCAAATGCTACGTCATCATATAATCTCCTTTAAATGTAATTATATAGTATCATTGAATCGTGTTAAACATTAGTTTTTCAAGTAAAATACAATATCTGAGAATTTTTTTGGGTTTTTTTATTTTACTAGGTCATACCCGGTTCAATGCATTTAGGTTTGGGATGAATCCAGGCTAACCTGTTAATAATAGAGCTACTCTCCACGGTTTACTTAAACAATTATGAGTGAATTAATTTACTCTCCACTATTCACGTAGCAGAACAATGAAGAAATGAAAGTGTAGAGGAAGAAGGAGAAGGGAAAAAGTTGGAGGCCCTGGATGGTGGTGAGGGAGCCACTCGCCACTATTCTTCAACGTGAATAGTGGAGTCTCCACTGTTCACGTAGCAGAACAGTGGAGAAATGGAATTGCAAAAGAAAGAGAAGAAGAAGACCTGACGACCTTGGATGGTGGTGAGGGAGTTGCTCTCCACTATTCTCTAATGTAAACAATCTCCATTGTTCATGTAGCAAAATACTAGAGGCATGGAAGTACAGAAAGAGAATGAAAAGGGGAAAAAATGGTAACTTCTTTTTCCTCTGTTTTTGTTCTTTTTCTTGCGCACCTCTGATTACTGTGTTGTAACATAGTTTGCAACAAAAACAACAACAAGCTGCTTCTTCTCACCCTACGTTGTATACACAATAAACAACGGGATCCATGAATAGTAAATTCTATTTTTTTTTCTTTACCAAACATATTGCTCCTGTATTTTGCTTTAAAAGCAAACACCACCTTGTAATCAAACTGTCTCTTAAGCTGACATTCTTCCGCTGTGTTGATACAATTATTTCTTGTCATGGTTATAAAGTGAGGCTAAACTCCTACTCACTTATAATTTTTCTTATTATTGATGTAATTAAGAAACCAGGAGAATTTTATTTAGATTTTATGATATTAGCATATTATTATTATTATTATTATTATTATTATTATTGCAACTGAACTACTAGCTCAAGATACAATAATTAAGTAATAAAAAACCAACTAAAAAAAAAGAACATTCCTAATTTAAATTTCATCATTTGCATTTTTCAGCTTAGATACAAGTACACGATTGATAAGCTATTTTATACTATTTGAAATAATTGCACATTTGCGAGGATGTTCAGAGTATATTTATGATATAAAAAACACATTTTAAAATTTTGAATTTTTTTCAAAAACGTTTATTTTGTTTTTGAAAATGATGGAGAACTGTAGACCAGTCTGGAATAAAACGGGACGGTATGGCATCACGTCTTCCTGCCAGGGAAAAGACAAGAAAGAGAAACACCCGCATGGATAGATTGATTTGCAAGCAGATTCTTAAGGGGACACGGGGACCGATCGTTTAGCTGTCTTAAGCACTGTTTGGCATAGTAATTTGGAAGCCTGTGCTAAAAACCTGCATTGATTCCGCCTAGAATTGGTTAGGCAGATAAATGATACGTGTCTTTTGTTTAAGAGAGAAGGGCAGCAGCTAGTGAGCGGCCCATTTTAATTGTCTTGAAGCACGACCACGAGTCAAGATCATTCCTAAATAACCTTGACCACTTTCTCCCATCCAAGTGCTGCTGCCTGCATCCCCTAATCACGTGCCCAAATTGGAAAATAATGAATTAAACCTCACAACTCGGGCTGGCTGCAAAATTGCTAAGGGGATTGATAGTCTCACCAAGCTGAAACTTATTTATAAATTTCAATTCAGCATCCACAGCGATTCTCGTTCACATGCCTTTCAAGCTGCATGCCACGGCGGGGGAAGAGAGCTGCTCATAGCCATACGATATTTTAGATGCCTTGCTCTCTCAGTGCCACGTAGGTACAGGAGGGCAGTTGCTCCCTTATTTTTTTTAAAAAATATTTTTATATTAATATAATAATGTAGTGAATGGTTGGTATTGAAAAGTTGTTATTGTATCTCATTTCCTTTCTTTTTTGGCTTATCCTAATTATATAAAGTCTCAGCTCGTTCCTTATCTTTCTTCAATATGCAAATGTTTCTTTAAATATAGTTAAGTAATTAACTTTTTTTACTTTATATTTTAGATAAATTTCCTTCATCTTTTTTATTTATTTTATTATCTAATTTTAATTTTATTTTTTATAATTAATTATTAAAAATATTAAAGTTTATGATAATTTA